TCCCAGCACTTTGGGAGGCTGAGGTGGGCAGATCACGAGATCAGGAGATCGGGACCATCCTGGCTAACACAGTGAAACCCCCATCTCCATTAAAAATACAAAAAATTAGCCGGGCATGGTGGCATGAGCCTGTCATCCCAGCTCCTCGGGAGGCTGAGGCAGGAGAATCGCTTGAACCTGGGAGGTGGAGGCTGCAGTGAGCTGGGATCGTACCACTGCTCTCCAGTCTGGATGACAGATTGAGACTTTGTCTCAAAAAAAACAAAAAGTGGGGGGAATATATTCATAAAAGGAAGTACTATTCATCGACTGAAAAACAGAGGACAACAGAGGACACCACTGTATTGTTCCATTTGCATAAACTATACAATCTACAGTAGAGAAAGCAGGTCAGTCACTGTTGAGCATGGAGCAGGCCAGACTGTCTACAAACGGAGATTTTTGGAGTTGGGAAAATCTACATCTTGACCAAGGTAGGCTACTCAGGCCTATACATTTATAAAATTGCATCAAAACCTACAGCTGAAATATGTGCATTTTATTGTATATAAATTACATTACAATAAAATGAATTAGAAATGAGGTAGAACTCCAGTTATTGGCATCAAATGATACTTATAATAATTTGAGTGGTTAAGTACAAGACACAGAAAAAGATGTGTAGTATGATCTGATGTATTTAGAAAAGGAGTATATGTGTGTTGTGGATGCACGTTTGTGATAATTCCAACACACTTTTTGCCAGTCTTTTCCTGAGCCTAAAGAGTGATTTCCTTTTGTGGAGGGAAGGAGTATCAGTAGTGGTGATGGTAGGGAGGGGATTTGGAATTTGAAGACTGTATGAAGAGGAAATGCCTTTTTGTTTTGTTTTCATTCCAAATACTGCTTATTGCCTCCCTCGGCCTTTAGTTTTTTCAGCAAGAATTTATTTGATTTTTTAAAAATAATAAAAGAAAATATGTAAATATGTTATTATCCTCTTTCTGGGTCCTATGCAACTTGACAGTGACACTTTCATTACACATTATTTTTGAAATTCTTAATAATAGTTAATACTGCATGAGAGTTATTACTTTTACCATACGCTCTGTATCGTGCTAAGCTCTTTGTGTGTGTTATCTTGGTTACTTCTCGCAATAGCTCTATGACCAAGTTTCGTGATTGGTAAAAGTGGTATCAGAGTTCAAACTCATGCGGCCTATTCTAAAGCCTATTGTGAATTGATTGTACTAAACTTTCTAATTTTACAGAGTTTGCTAGTAGCAAAGCCAGATTTCAAACCTCAAACTTCTGATTTGGTTCAGAATTCTTTTTCATTTCTTGGTGGTAATATCCAAGGTAAAAAATATTTTAAAAGGCATTTAAAATGATTTTATCAAATTTTAGGATGATGGTAGTACACAGTCACAAAAACTAAGAGTAATCTAGTATATAGTTTTCTAAATATTATTTTAGGTGGAACTTCTAGTTAATTCTCATTTGTTATAGAGCAAAGATTGAAGTTACTTTTAAATATCATACACATACTTTTATAATCAGGTGTAAAACTTTATATATTTACAGTTGTCCCTTGTTATCCCTGGGGAATTAGGTCCAGGACCCTCCTGCAGATACTGAAATCCACAAATGCTCAAGTTCCTTCCATACAATGGTGTAGTATCTGTGTACAACCTATGCAATCCTCCCATATACTTTAAATCATCATAGATTACCTATAATATCTAATACAATGTAAATGCTGTGGGAATAGTTGTTACACTGGATTGTTTAGGGACATACAAAATAAGTCTGTGCACGTTCAGTACAGATACAACCATGCTTGTTTTTTAAATATTGTTTGAACTGTGGTTGGCTGAATCCACGAATTCAGAACCCACGGATACACAGGCAAGACTGTACTTACTATTGCACTGAGACTTTCAAAGACTGTTATCTGATAAAATGTTTATTAGAGATAGGCATATCATACATTGACAACAGAACCTGGTGCCCACCTCTGAGTGTAGGATAAATGTTTAGTACTGAGTGTTAGTTTAGTACTCTCATTGTATTCTTGTAGGCAATGTAGTCATTCAATATTCAACATAGTCTTAGAATATTGAATATTCAAGATAGCCTTAGAAATGTTAGAATATCATACCCCATGCACTGACAGATCTCCCTAGATTTGTGGAACAGTAAAATAACTTAGTGGTCATTCAGTCTGTGGGTGTATCCTTTGTTGAACATTTGATTCATTCAATTTTTTTAAATTTAAAAATAATTGATTAGTTCCTGTTAGTCAATGTTCTTGCAAAAATACTCAACTTCCTCAAAGGAGGAGAAATAATGAAAATAAAATGATATGGAAGGTGCGTCACTCTGGAGCTAATGCCATTTGGGAGCCGTTTCCACATCTCAGCCTGAATATGTGGGTGGAAGGAACAGTTGCCCAAACCTAGAGAGAGCCAGAGAGAGGGCGGCCTGAGAGGAGTTATGAAGTGTCTCTCCTGCCTCCGCTCCTCCCAGCCTCTGATCTCCCACCAGGACCTCATGGTGGTGGAACCCCTGCGGAAAAGGAAGACAAGAGAACCTGCTGATGCAGTACGTGCAGGTCTGGCTCCAGGCACCCAAACCAGGGTAGAGAAGACTGCAGGCTGGATCAGGAGAGACATTTGGAAAGCATCCAGCACAGTCTCCAAGATTTTAAGAGGAGAATATTGATGGAGCTATATGAAGGACAGACACACAGAGAGTACATGACTCCCCTTGAGAAATGGCAAGATGTGGTTGTATTAAAACTGGATTTCTTCATGTAAGCATCAGTGATAACCGAGTAGCAATTGCCCTCTTTCAACAATGAGTGAAGTCTCCACTCACTCTGCGTCTTTCCCTTCCCACTTCATTCAGATTTCCTCTGTATGGGTTTGGGTTCCAGCTCATTCTCTTACTTATAAAAGGAATTCATTATCAACCAGAGGTTGCATAGGAGATAATTTGCCCAAGCTCCCTAGTTAGTGCTGGATGCAGGTTGAGAACCTAGGAGCATTAGCCATGATAGGTTATCTTACGCTATGGTTGCAAATCATTGCTGAAATATCTGTGGTTTATTATGACAAAGATTTGTATTTTAATTTACTCAAAATCTCCTGTGGGTCACTCAGTGACTCAGAGACATGGCCTGTCTCCACTTTGCTGCTCTGTCATCTCAACGTGTGGCTTCCAGGTTAGCACAGCTGGAGAACAGAAGGCCAGAGGGCCACTCTGGGGATTTGACTCCACCGTGGAGGGGATTTTCAGCTCTAGTCAGGGTCCCCTGGCTGGAATTACTCACATGGCTCTATCCAACTGCAGGAAAGTTGGGAATTGTAATTTCCGTGTGCCCAAGAAGGAAACAAGGAGCTTTTGGTGAGTGTGACAATCGCTCCCACAATAAGAATCTTTCATTTTGGTCTGGGCTTTTTTTAGCTTGATAATGCCACTTTTTGTTCTACCTTAGCTGGTGTGTTCACTGTCGTATTTGCAGTACAGACCTTCAGAGCTGTTCGCACAAGAGATAGCAAGAGGAATGTGTGCTGGGGCGGCTCTGTGAAGACCCCACAGAGGAAAAGTGACTTGGATTTTGTTTTGAGGCTTGCAGAGGATTTAAAAATGTAAGAAGAATGGTTTAAGTTATTTCAAACTGTCCACATCGACTCAGTAAAAGTAAGCTGGAAGAATTCTCACAGCCTGTCTTGGTAAAGCAGGCAAGTCAGTCTTACTCCTAGTAAAACCGTTACGCAGAGAAAAATCAGGTTGGATCTTCGAATGCTTGACTGTGGATCTTGGACTTCACCTCACGGTTAATAGGCAGGAATTGGTTCAATCACCGGTAATTCTTAGCAGGAGGAAGGAGTGTGTCATTTGGATTCTATAGAACCAATTTCACTCTCCGTTTGTACTTGCAGATTCAGCTTCAACACAATTTTCTTATGTTCTGAAAGTTCAAGCACAAGCACTTGGGAGATAGTTGGCTGTGTGTTTCTGCCTTGGGTTTTCTAAGACTAACCACCCAGTGAATTCTGCAATACCCTATTAAATGATGCTCCTAGCCATGGAGGACCAGGGAAAGCCAAAGGCAGAACTGTCTCTATGAGCGATGATATAGCTGCAGACCCTGATGGGGCGCAGAGCATTATTAATAGAACAGGGCAAAAGGATGCTTGCTGTCAGAGCTACCCGTTCTATTTCTGTGTGACACGGGGGACTTGTAGCCACTGCATTGATTTGCAATGGTGAACTATCATTTCCAATAACAACTGTCCATGATACTACTTAAACTAATATTGAAAATTCACTGAATATAGTATTTTTAAAGGATGTCATCTTTTAAAAAATGTGTGTGGATTTTAAAGACAAGTAGATGAATAGAACACCAATGATCATTGTTAAATTATCCTATATTTACCTGGGATTGCAATAAAATTAATGCTCCCTAGAAATTGTGACTGGTTGAATTAAAGCATGGTAGCTGAATGCAAACACCACACAATTTTTACTTTTCCACTTTGGCATTGTTTTGTTGTTGTTGGCGGTGTTGTTGCTGTTGTTTTGTTTGTTTGTTTGTTTTGTTTTTTGAGACTGAGTTTCACTCTTGCTGCCCAGGCTGGAGTGCAGTGGCACAATCTTGGGTCACCGCAACCTCTGCTGCCTGGGTTCAAGCAATTCTCCTGCCTCAGCCTCCTGAGTAGCTGGGGTTACAGGTATGCGCCACCACACCCGGCTATTTTTTTTTTGTATTTTTAGTAAAGACGGACTTTCTCCATGTTGGTGAGGCTGGTCTCGAACTCCTGACCTCAGGTGATCCATCCCCCCTTGGCCTCCCAAAGTGCTGGGATTACAGGCGTGAGCCACCATACCCGGCAACTTTGGCATTGTTAATAACCTAATGGGATTGTCATTAAGTTTTAAAACAGCAAGTAATTCTGTTTATTTCCACTCTGGTTAATCTCCTCCCACTCCTGAGAAAAACAAAGAAACAGTGACCTCAATACCCATTTATTTTTTCCTATACAACTTTCCCTCTCTCTTCTCCAGGTGAAGTTTGTGCAAGTGTGAGTTAAGAGATTTGATGAAATTATTCACACAGGTGTAAATGTCAGTATGTTATTAATAGTTTCTCTAAGAACATGCACATCTTCACCTGGGCTTGCTGCTGCCCCACGTAGTAAGGATGCGACAGTTTGTAGTTCTCTAGAGAACTTTGCCACTAGTTTTGCAGGGAGAGGGCTTTTAGTGTCTTAGCCATAGTGTCATGTAAACAATTGACATGAGAGTTTTTCTTGAATTTTTATACAAAGAAAAGGGAGAGGAAGAGAACATTGCTGGCCTTGGAAATCTGAAAAGCAGACATAAAACAGGAAAGGAAAGAAAGCAGATTATTTAGTTTACCATCTTCATAATTTAAGGTTAATGTAGTTTGGATATGCCCCCACCAAATCTTATGTTGAATTGTAATCCCTACTCTTGGAGGTAGGGTCTGGTGGGGGTGTTTGCATCATGGGAGCGGATCCCTCATGGAGGGCGTGGGCCATCCCCTTGGTGATGCGTGAGCTCTGAGTTCACAAGAGATCTGGTCATGTAGAAGCGTGTGGCACCTGCCTCCCACTCTTTTGCTCTTGCTTTTGCCATGCGAAGAGCCTGCTCCCACTTCACCTTCCTCCATGAGTAAAAGCCCCCTGAGGCCTCCCCAGAAACAGAACGTCATGCTTGTACAGCCTTCAGACCTGTGAGCCAATTTTCTTCATGAACTCCACCATCTCAGGCTCTGGGGCAAAGGTACTCCAACAATAGATGATGCTGTTGGTAATACCTGCTCTATTCCAGCCAAACTATAATGGAACCTGCCCCTGCCAGGGTTTCAGCAGGGACAAGCTGGAAGCTGATTTTCCACCCTAGCTCCTGTCCCAGGGAAACAGGCTATGGGCTCCAGTTTCTCTGTTGTGTCATCAGGATGCCGAGTAAACCCACTTCCATGAGGCATCGTTGAGACAGAATGAGGCAACTCAAGGTAGAATGATCCACGTTCTGCTCTCCCTTCCCTCCCGTCCTGGCCCTGGGCCCGGAGGAAACTGAACATATACACAGCCCCGGTGCTACATCTCAACACAGAAGCTGGCTATTTAAAAAACAAAAAAAAGAGTAGCCTGGGTGCGGTGGCTCATGCCTGTAATCCCAGCACTTGGGGAGGCTGAGGTGGGCGGATCATGAGATCAGAAGATCAAGACCATCCAGGCCAACATGTTGAAACCCTGTCTCTACTAAAAATACAAAAATGAGCCAGGCGTAGTGGCGCATGCTTGCAATCCCAGCTACTTGGGAGGCTGTGGCAGGAGAATCACTCGAACCCAGGAGGCGGAGGTTGCAGTGAGCCTAGACAGTGCCACTGCACTCCAGCCTGGAGACAGAGCTAGACACGGTCTCAAAAAAAAAAAAAAAAAAAAAGAGTAAATAGGATTCACAATCTTATAATATCAAAATGTCCAGAATATGATTTTAAAAAATCAAAAAATCACTTATCATAGCAAGAATCAGAAAAATCACAAATGAATGAACAGTCAATTGAGACTCCAACGTAAAGATGACTCAGGTGTTAGAATTATCTGAAAGGAATTTTAGAAAAATTGTCATAAAAATGCTTCAATAAGCAATTATGGATTCTCTTGAAACAAATGAAAAAAATAGAAAATTTCAGCAAAAAGTAGCCTAGAATTAAAAATGAAAATCATAGGAATACCTCAAATAAAAGGCTTTTCATGGGCTCAATATGTCATCTTGATGAAATGGAGGTGACAGAGGATGGAATCCATGACCTCGAGGATAGCTCAGTGGAACTTATTCCATCTGAAAAATAGAAAAAACGGTTATAGGGCAGCAGAGTCTCATGGGTCAATAAAAAAAGAGCTCACATTTGTATACTTGGAGTACAAGGTAAAACAGAAAAACGTTTAAAGCAGCCAAGGAGAAATGAAACGTTGCTTACAGGAGAACACCAATTCAAATGGTAGCGGATTTCTCATCTCAAACCACGGAGACCAGAAATGAATGAAGTGCTTTTTCAAGTGCTGAAAGAAAAGAATTGTCACCTGCAAATTCTATACCCACAGAAATTATCCTTCAAGAATGAAAGGGAAATAAAGACGTTTGCTAGACAAAAGAAAACAAGAGAAATTTGTTGTGTGACAAACCTACCCTTACAGAATGGCTGATGGAAGCATTTTATTTTATTTTATTTTATTTATTTATTTATTATTATTATTATTACTATTATTATTGAAATGGAATCTCATTCTGTTGCCCAGGCAGGAGTGCAGTGGCACTATCTCGGCTCACTGCAACCTCTGCCTCCTGGGTTCAAGCGATTCTCCTGTCTCAGCCTCCCGAGTAGCTGGGATTACAGGCGCCTGACACCATGCCTGGCTAATTCTCTGTGTTTTTAGTACAGACGCGATTTCACCATGTTGGCCAGGCTCGTCTCGAACTCCTGACCTCAGGTGATCCACCCGCCTCGGCTTCCCATAGTGCTGGGATTACAGGTGTAAGTCACTGCACCCAGCTGCACCTCATGAGTTTTTAAAAGCGATATTTGATGTTTGAGGCAAAAGTTATTATGCCATCTGATGGGATGCTCAATGCATGTAGAAGAAGTACCTGAGACAAGGATATTTAAAAGATGGGAAGTGTAAAGACACCTAAAGGAAGGGTGATCCTCCACTTTACTCCACGTGGTAAGGCCTCACTTCCGGGGACTGGGATGGGTTGGGGTACATGGTGGATCCATTGGCACCGCACTCGCAGTGCGCTGCATGCCGCGTGTACAATGCGGCCAGGGAGCTGCAGGGCTGCCCTGGAACGGATGAGGAGTGGCCGGAGCCTCGCAGAGGAAACGGGGTAGATTATGTCGGGCTGTTGGTGACATTGAGGCCATTGTAAAGTAATTGGATGTTTTTCTAAATGTAGATATTTAGTTATTAAAATGAATGAACAAGAAGTGACACCATCTGAATTGAATTTTTAAAATATCACCTTAGCTACTGTGTTGAGATTTCAGTGTAAGGGTTAAGGGCAGGTGCATTACGACGAATTAGGAGGTTCTTTCAGGAATCCAGGCAAGGCCATTGCCAGTGGAGAAACCAGTGGGTTCTGGGGGATGGCATTTTCAATACAGAGCCAAAGGAAATCTTGGTGGGGGCAGAGAGGGGCCTTTAGGATGGCTCCCGGGAGTTTGACTTCAGTGACCACTAAATGAGGTGAAGAAGACTGCAGGAGAACAGGTGGGGTGGAGGATCAGAAGTCTGGCTAGGGTTGAGATGCCGATTCAGCATCCAAGCAGCTGGATATGTAAATCCAGATTTCGGGGGAGAGCTACAGACTTGGGGATAAAAAATTGGACGTAGTTACTATGTGGAGAGTGCTTAAAAGGATGAGATTGGATGCGGTCACCCAGGAAACAGGTGTCAACTTTACTCATGGAACCATAAAAATGTAAATCTGGACGGAATATCTATAACATCAGCAAACAAGAGTGAGGGGCCTCTCTATTCTTTGCTGGTGTACCTCAATTCTCCCTATAGCACCTGGCATATAGTAGGCACTTGATAATATTTACTGAATGAACAGTAATACGTGTGACCTACCATGACCAGATCAGCATCAGATCCAGGGCAACAGTGGAAATCTTCTCATTTCTAATTCAACGGTCGTTTATTGTCCCTAACTCTCCTGCCAAATTTAATTCTCATTATCTTACTCGTGATCAACACTAAAGCAGCTTCCATTTCATTTCTGATTCCTTTATTGGTTGTTATTTTTCATAAGTTATTCTTAAACTTATGATGCCTTTAAAACTAAAATTAACTGCGTTTTTCTCCTATTTTAGGAAAAAATGAAGACGGGCTAATTTTGTGATAAATCATATTTCAAAGAGAATAAGTTTTTTTAATTTAATAAAAATGCTTTTTACCCATTTTATAGAATTATAACAATATTCAACCCTTTTAAAACCTGGTTGCTATAGATTTTCTCTACATCACAAGGAATTCAATACTATATTAGATATTAAAAGCCTAAAAACATAAAGATTGATGATAGTTTGTGTTATACAAGTTTTATAATAATAAGGAAAATAGGTATAGGGAATGTATTGATAATAGAATGTACATTTTCTTAAATATAGGCTAAATTAGATTTAGGATTGTATTAATTCCAAATGAATCATTTTATTAGCACTAGCTTAGAGGAAAAATTTCTTCCATACACAGAGAATTACTGTGTATACTCAATATTACTAAGATATAAGGGCCATTAGGTTTTTGTTTATTATCCCTTTTCTGACTTTTCTCCATATAAGTGAGAAACAATTATCACTTGAATCAACAATATATATTAATTTTTAAAACAGAAATAAATATAAAACAAGGTTATAATTTTCATTACCATAGGCTCTAAGAAACCTAACCCTGTGTTTTCCATAGAAACCACGGTCCAGTGTTTGCTCTGTTCCCAGCAACTTCATAGAACACAGCTACCACGAATAATGAGAATCGATACCACCTCTTTTTAAGCACTTTAACTTCGACATTTCAATTTGGCTTAAAATTTTAATCCTTCCGTGTGTGTTTGTATATGTGTCTCTGTGTGTGTGTGTGTGTGTGTGTGTGTGCGCGCGCGTGTGTGTGTGTTTGCAATGAAAGAAAACACATACACTAATTCTCCAAAATTCCTGTGGATGATTTAATCAACATATATTTCTGAAGTTCTTACTTTCATCAGCATTTTCTTAAGCTCTTTGGAGAACAAAGACATATAAAGTATTCATTACCCTGGCTCCAAAATGTGCAATTTAATGCAGCATACATTATAAACAAAATTATAAGGAATATCATATTGTACCTAATAAGGGCTGCAGGAGCTTACTGACCTGTCGCTGCTCTAAAGACTAAAGTGGTCAAATGAAGGGGTCACTTGGAGGATGCAGTGGCTGAAAATGGTAAGCATTAGGGCAGGTCAGAGAAAGGGCCGTTTATTTCGGGAAGAATACATGATACTAGGCATACCATATGCATTACGGAAAGTAAACAAAGAGTAGATTTACACTACATGAAATACTTTAGAGTAATATGATGCAATTTACAGCTAATGGGAAAAGACTGCTAAGTTATTGCTGTTTCATAACTATTTTATTGTGATTTAAAAGCTTTGCATAAAACAATATCCAGTATCTTCAGAACTAATATTTGTGTTTTTTTGTAATTTATGAGGAAGAGATTTATTACAACAATGAGGAGCACAAGTTCTAATTCCAGAACAATTATATAGCCCTCAAAGTCAATATATGATGCATGAAATGGGGTATGTCCCTGGTTTTGGACTAGGAAAAAGTTTGCAAGCTTTAAAGTAACCACTTCAAGTGGAATGACAATGTTCCTGGCAAGGTTTAGGATATCGTTTTTGATGGCGGCCAGTTTTCTTTTTTTTTAATACTTTAAGTTCTAGGGTAATGTGCACAATGTGCAGGTTTGTTACATGTGTATACATGTGTCATGTTGGTGTGCTGCACCCATCAACTCGTCATTTACATTAGGTATGTCTCCTAATGCTGTCCCTTCCCCCTCCCCCAACTCCACGACAGGCCCCAGTGTGTGATGTTCCCCACCCTGTGTCCAAGTGATCTCATTGTTCAATTCCCACCTATGAGTGAGAACACGCAGTGTTTGGTTTTCTGTCTTTGCAATAGTTTGCTCAGAATGATGGTTTCCAGCTGCATCCATGTCCCTACAAAGGACATGAACTGATCCTTTCTTTATGTCTGCATAGTATTCCATGGTGTGTATGTGCCACATTTTCTTAATCCAGTCTATCATTGATGGACATTTGGGTTGGTTCCAAGCTATTGTGAATAGTGCCACAATAAACATACGTGTGCATGTGTCTTTATAGCAGCATGATTTATAACCCTTTGGGTGTATACTAAGTAATGGGATGGCTGGGTCAAATGGTATTTCTAGTTCTAGATCCTTTGAGGAATTGCCACACTGTCTTCCACAATGGCTGAACTAGTTTACAGTCCCACGAATAGTGTAAAAGTGTTCCTATTTCTCCACATCCTCTCCAGCACCTGTTGTTTCCTGACTTTTTAATGATCACCATTCTAACTGGTGTGAGATGGTATCTCATTGTGGTTTTGATTTGCATTTCTCTGATGGCTAGTGATGATGAGCATTTTTTCATGTGTCTGTTGGCTGCATAAATGTCTTCTTTTGAGACTTCACCACTTTTTGATGGGGGTGTTTGATTTTTTCTTGTAAATTTGTTTAAGTTCTTTGTAGATTCTGGATATTAGCCCTTTGTCAGATGGGTAGATTGCAAAAATTTTCTCCCATTCTGTAGGTTACCTGCAGAACTAATATTTGATTTGAAGTACCTTTCTATTAAAACTTCTCTGACCATCTAACTGTATTAACAACAACATACTGGGAATAGGATGTGTCCTCGAATTAAATTGCTTTTCAATGGCGTTAAGGTAAAACAATGCCTGTGTGTTTATTGTTTTTATTAATATGGCATATTGTGTGATATCTGGGCCCAGCAGCTGTCTCAACTATGGTTGATGTTTATATAAGAGCAAATTTTAAAAAGATGGAAACTCTGCAGATTCTGCAGCAGTGAGCCCTTCTTGACTCTTTTCTGCAGGTTGTGGATGAGAGAGCTGTCCCATGGCTGGGCTGTTTTTACGTATACTGGCTGCTTACAGGATATCACACTGCTGAATCACGTGTACTTGAAGACCAGCAGAGGATGGTGGGTGTGCCGCTGCCCATGCTGTGTAAAGACGGTGGCAGAGTGGGC